GAGAGACACAAACTGAACTCATACCAATGTACACACACACTAAATCATGACATTCATTAACACTATACACTACAATACAGTAGCCTATTACATATAATTTATACTGTGTGTATAGTGTATATCATGACCTAGTTTGGAGCCTATCCTCTTCAAAAAGGTCACATGAATAATAATAATAATAATAATAATAATAATAATAAAAATAATAATAATAAAATAAAATAGTACGTTAGTTATTTATATAAATTTATTCCTAAAAAGTATTAAATTAATTAAGTTCATTAATTATGTGATATTGTTCTCCACCCACTCACCTACTAATTGTAGTCCAGTTGACAATCAAATTTCATAAGAGGTGGGCACCAAATGGAGAGCAGAGAGGGGATTGATTTCACTTCTTCACTGCAGTCCACAACAGTCCTATATCTATGAGTGGACTCTGCATTCCATTGAGACTGTAGATACAATACCAAAGGGAAACGGAATCCGTATACTATAACTACGTGTCCACACATGGTAAAAATGGCTACCATCCCCTTGACCTATACAAATATTCTTGCTGATATTGCAGCAGTTTATTAGAAGATTATGATATCAAGGAATCAAGGAGACAGTAAGTACCTCATACTATTAATAGTAACACTATTACTGATACTATTAATAGTAACAGCTATGGTAATTTAATTTCTTTTGCTAAATAGACGTACATGTAAGTTGTAACATAGAAGTAAGAGCATCAAAAGTATAATACTTTGTGACAGAAATATTTGGTAGTACTTAATATTGGTAATTTGTGATTCCAATTTATTGGAGGTTTTTAATTTATTTTATTTTTGTGATTTTATCATTAATCTGCCAATTGTCAAATTAAAATTCTACCAATTTAGTATTATCATTGTTGTTGTTGTTGTTGTTGTTGTTTTTAGGTGAGAATATGGTGATGTTCTCAGATGTTGTTGTTAAAGTTAGCAGAAGAGGACGACTGAGGGAATGGTGTATGATGATAACCGGTCAGTTATAGGAGGGGTGGGGCTTGGGGTGTGGCTTAGGGTCATGGGTACCAGGTTGGAGAATTACATATAGCTCCAAATTTTTGTGAGTCAAAAATTTCGTCAAAATTTTAATTTCTGTTAAAATCATTTTTTGGCAATAAAATTTCTGTCATTTTTGTAATTAATTTGCATACTACCCATGTAGAACAAAAATTTTATCAAGCAAAAATACCTGACAAATTTGACAAAAATTTTAACCAACAAAAATTTGGAGCTATACAGTATAAGTTTTTAAATCCTTAATTTAAAAATTAGCTTATATTGGCGATTGGTGGTTCTATGAAGAGATTGCCAATATAAAATCCTTCATTTTGTTTCAATCTGAGCATGCTCAATGGCACATGGCACAAAATCAACAACATAAAATTTACTGATAAATTTCTACAGGCAAATTCGCCAAATGTTACTCCCACCAATAAATCATCTTGTACGGTAGCTTATAAGTCATAGCCTCAAAAGTTAATTTGTTACAATTAATGTAAATTAATTTTATTTATTAATGATTTATTTATTTTATTTATTGTATTAATAGATGGTAATCTACTAGCTGATGTGAGTCACATTAGTGCTAGTCTCCTACCTGATAACTTCTTCATTATACATGCACCTGCTGATCAGGACAGGCTCTTCATTAGCGCGTAAGTATCTTTAATAATTGACAATTGTTATTAATTATTATTAATAATGTGTGATATTTATGATTTAAATAGAGAGGGAGAGAGGGAGGGAGGGAGGGAGAGAGAGAAGGACCTTCTTATCACTATACACACACATACACATTGAACTGTGTGTCACTGTGTGACAATGTCAGTTCATTTTTCATGAAATGTTGCCTGTGCTTTAGTACAGGGATTTTTAAGTGACTTTAAAAATTTGTAAAAAATCAAATTTTGATAGGAATCAGCTCAAACTTTCTACGCAACATAAGAAGACGTATATGTATCAGGAAAAATTATAAAAATATAGATTTTTCTACTTTTTATTTTTGGCAAAATTTGGCCAATTTGTCCAATTTTTGAGTAACTTAAAAAATTTAAAAAAAAAATCAATTTTGATCGGACTCAGCTCAAATTTTTTATGTAGCATAAAAAGATGTATGTGTATTAGGAAAAATTATAAAAATTGAGATTTTCTACTTTTCATTTTTGGCAAAATTTGGCCCAGCCAATGTCCCTATACTATAGTAGGCCCAATTTTTGCTTGTAGTGTTATGTATTATGTTTTGTACACTGTATGTTTAAATTAATGTAATAAATAAAAAAGGGGATTATGTACATGAAGTTAGTTATTTAGTTACTATCATTATTATTATTATTATTATTATTATTATTATTATTAATTTATTATTATTATTTATTAGGAGGAAAACTGAGATAGTGACGTCACTAAGGATTGCTTACTTTGACATGACAAAACAAGAATTGAATATATCACTACAGAACAGGTAAACAATAATAAATTAATAAATAAAATTAAAGTAGAATTTTCACAAGGAAATATGGTACATGTGTACATGTACATGTTGTCTTTTTACATGTTTTTGTTTGAATTGTCCCTTCTCTTATTTCATCTTCCCCCCTCCTCTCTCCCTCTTTTCTTTCTTTCTCTCTTAATCTATTCTCTTCTTTCTTTTTGCCCCTCCCTCCCTCTCTCTCCTCCATTAGTATTGATTATAAAGTTGATAGAGATCAAGTGAGACGAGTTGAATTCACTCAAGGAGACAGTAAGTACTTCATACTATTAATAGTAACACTATTACTTGTACTATTAATAGTAACACTATTACTGATACTATTAATAGCAAAAGTAGATAATAGTTAGAGAGAGTGTCCGACTGCACTATAGTAGCTTGAAACATCACCTCGTAGCCTTTTCTTACGCATCTTTGGGCATTCCCTTATACTGGGTGTGGCTGAGTAAGAAAAATGTCTGAAATGGGTGCAGAGTTTGCTCAACAAGGTTTACTGGTCATTTTGGCGTTTCTGCTATAGCGTACTGGAATTCAAACTTCTGCAGCATTATAAAGTTTCCTCATATGATGTCTAAAGCTTCTTCAAGTGTTCTACACTGTTCTTTATGCAAAACTTCTACATGTGTTTTTAGTAAGTAGACCCGCTTCTATTCTCACGTGATTTACTTTCATGGGTTGATGCTATAGTGCAGTTCGACACTCTCTCTAAAATAATTATCTCTTGTCAATAGTAACACTATTACTGGTACTATTAATAGTAACAGTGTTGCTTGTACTATTAATAGTAACAACTAGTAACAATGATAGAATTTTCATAGAATTTTTACAGTTTTTATAGCACTATTCACTAATGCCTACATCAATCTATTGATAATATCATTATTTTCATTTATTATTAGATGGTGTATATACA